TCTATGAGGTTCAGTGTGGTTGGTTTTATGTTGAGGTCTTTGATGCATTTGGACTTGAGTTTTGTTTATGGCAATAGATATGGATCTATTTGCATTCTTCTACATGTCAACATCCAGTTATGCCAGCACCATTTGTTGAAGATAAAAGCTGTGAATTTTGATATCTATTGATGCTTTTTATGATTTAAAATTTTTGTGTTAGCCCGGCAGTGGTAGTACATGCTTTAAGAAGGCAGAGGCAGTCGGATCTCTGTGAGTTCAAGACCAGACTGGTCTAGTTCCAGGACAGCCTCCAAAGCCACAGAGAAATCCTGTATAGAAATTTTGTCAATATAAGAAATCTCTGGTGGTAGTGGTGCACTTATGTAATGGTAAAAGGAAGTGTATACATGCCACAATACACATGTGGAGGAGGTCAAATGACAACTTACAGGAAATCAGTCTTTTTTACTACCTAGATCTCACACATCAAACTCAGGTCACCAGGCTTGGTGGCAAGTGCCTTTTTCATTGATCCATCTGCTGGCTCCATTCTCCTCTAGTTTTATATTTCTAGCTTTAAACATTGTCTTCAATCTACTGAGTTAAACCTGGCATGCCCTATGAGGAAGAGCTTAAAGTTTTAAATGTATCCAGTTCTCCCTGAGAGTGTGTAACAATGCCTGCTCCCCACTCTGAGCAGCCTTTTGCCTTTGTGTCAGGGCCCCATATATTTAAGAAATCTATTCTACCCCTCCACAAGTTCAGCAGAGCCCAGAATTTCTATTGTCTTTTAGATGTCAGCTAATAGCTGCTGGATGACCTGGCCTCAGTGGAAAATGACTCCTATCTAAATAACTATAGACATGGGCCAGGGTGAGTCTACACCTACCCTGAAGGCTAGTGAGACCCGTGCTAGTGCAGCGTGCCTGAGGGCCTGAGTACGTGCAGCAAAGGAATGTCCTTAGGATTAAGGAAAATAATTGCTATTAACCCTTTATACATGATAATAGATGTCTTCTGACATTGCCCCCACCTTTGAATAGTTACTTAAGATGATGCATCAATAAACCATGGCCTTCAGTATTAACTGACTGCCCTCCTGATATGACCAAAGGTCTCTGTCTCATCTTTAACGTCATTGGATAGCTTTCCCTCCGTCCACACTCCCCCCACTCAGGGTGGGACCCGGGGTTGTTCTGCTGGTTTTAATCGCAGCCCCCAAAAACGTCAGTCCTCCATACCTTTACCAAAACCCAAACAACCAAATAAGCACAGGTCTGCTTCTAGAAGGCACACAATTCCAGACATGTGTCTGTCTTTATGCCAAAATTACTCTTCTGATTTCAGTAATTTCAACAAATGTGCTGTTTTATTTTGTAAGTCTGATGTAGTTAAAATTTTCGAACCAGTTTTTCATAAAACTTCTACCCTGTCCTTACCATTTAAAAAAAAGAAAGTATTAGACTGGGTGAGCCATTTGGGGGTGGAGACCTGACATTTCAATAAGTGTTTCCATCTATGAGTACCACATCTACCCTGCCCCCCATTTGTCTTTGTTAATTTCTCTCAACATTTTTAGTTTTGTTTCGAGTTTCAAGACTCATTTGTCAATTGTATTCCAAAGATTGTCCAGACACTACTTCAATTTCTGATTCCATGATCAACATAGAAATACAAAGGCTCCATATGAACCTCAGAGGTAGCATGTTTGCCTAGCATGCACCCTGGGTTTGAATCCCTAGCAACACCAAGAAAACAAAAAATCACTGGGCATTGGTGGCGCACACCTTTAATCCCAGCACTTGGGAGACAGAGGCAGGCGGATCTCTGTGAGTTCGAGGCCAGCCTAGTCTACAGAGCGAGTTCCAGGACAGCCTCCAAAACAATACAGAGAAACCCAGTCTCGAAAAACCAAAAAAAAAAAAAAAAAAAAAAAGGAAAGAAAACAAAACAAAACAAAAAATCTGTCAAGCCCTGGTGACACGTGCCTATGATCCCAGACTTGGAGAGGCTTGGGCAGGAAGAGGAAACTTTTTAGATGTTTTGAATTACCTACATTATCTCAAGCTTTCAGTACTGGGGACTGAACCAAAGCCCTATACATGCTAAGCACACTCTCTACCCCTGAGGTACAACCTAATCCCTAATGAAATTTAATTCTTACCTTTTTCTCTTTTTGTCCTATGGCACTGACTATAAACCCATTAGATATTTAGAAAAATGGCATCCTGAATTGAAGCTAGGAAGAACACGTGAATTCACTATGTAGAGTGCTATTTGCTAGGCTTTTGTTGTTTTTTTTTTAAGATTTATTTATTATGTATACAGTGTTCTGGCATGTAAACATGCCATAAGAGGACAGCAAATCTCATTATAGATGGTTGTGAGTCACCATGTGGTTGCTGGGAATTGAACTCAGGACCTCTGGAAAAGCAGCCAGTGCTTTTAATCTCTGAGCCATCTCTCCAGCCTAGTTTTTGTTGTTTTAAAAGTGCTTTAAGGCTGGGAGGTGGTGTTGAACACCTTTAATCCTAGCACTTGGGAGGCAGAGGCAGGCGGATCTCTGTGAATTGAAGACCAGCCTGGTCTACAAGAGCTAGTTCCAGGACAGCCTTTAAAGCCACAGAGAAACCCTGTCTGGAAAAACCAAAAAAAAAAAAAAAAAAAAAAAAAAAAGTGCTTTGTATACATATAAACAAAGTACCCTCAAATCCTAATTTTATTTAACTTTTTATCATGAATTATTAGCATGCAATTATTGAGTTTTTAATTTCTATCTACTTGGTCATGGCTTTCTTCCTGTGCTACTTCCATGGTCAATTGCACTGATTTTTTAATGTTACCTGCCCATGTAAGAGAACTTGCCATAAGTATTTGTTAAAACTTTTGATATCTTGTATTGCCAGGCATGAATGCACATACCCATCATATCAACATTCAGGAGGCTGAAAGCAAAAAGGATATTGAGTTCATGTAACAGCCTGAGTTACATAGTGAAATGCTGTTGTGCCCACCCCCAACCTACACAAGAGGAACAAAACAAAACAAAAACAAAATGCACTGTATGTTCACTGTGAGTTAAAGGAACTCCCCCCCCCCGGAATCAAAACATTACTGCCCTCATGGGTACAAGGCAGTAGTAGATATATGGACTTATTTTCCTACAAAAATATGTAATGAGTCAGACAATGATGGCACATGCCTTTAATCCCAGCACTTGGGAGGCAGAGGCAGGAGGATCTCTTTGAGTTCAAGGCCAGCCTGGTCTACAGAGTGAGTTCAGAACAGGTTCCAAAGCTACACAGAGAAACCCTGTCTCAGACTACCCACACTTTGTTTTTCTTGTGAAAGATGAGCTAAAAAGTCAGTTTCTTTCAGCAGGCACCCACAGCTAAGCACTGATCCATAATCCCGGAATCCAGTTGTAGAGAGGGAGGAGGGATGAGCAAAGGAGTCAAGATAGTGCTGGAGAAACCAACAGAATCAGCTGACATGACCTAATGAGAGCACACGGACACATTCGTAAAGCTGGGAAACCAGCATTGAACTGAACCAAACCCTCTGAAAGTGGGTGCCAGTTAGGAGACCTGGGCAGTCTATAGGACCTCTAACAGTGGAACTAGTATTTATCCCTGGTGCACAATTGGACTTCAGGAGCCATTCTCTATGGCAGGATACTATCTCAGCCCAGATACATGGAGGAGGGCCTAGGCTCTCCCACAAATGATGTGACAGACTTTGATGACCCCCCATGGAAGGCCTCACCGTCCTTGGGGAAGGGGTGGGGGGTAGGCTGGTAGGGGGCATGGGAGGACTGAAGGGAAAGGGAAGGGGGGTTAATATGTAAAATGTTTGTTTCTAAATTTAAAAAGTGGGGGAGTTTCTTTCATAGGTTACTTAGGTGTTTGATTTGTTGAATGAACTGAGACAATCTATATTCCAAGAAATGTCATTTAGTCAACAGTATCTATAAATTGTTTGATTTCGTTGTTCTGCTTCAGGTGTTCTGCAACAAAAATCCCACTATGTAGCCCAGACTGTCCTCAAACTGAAGCCCCTTCTTCTGCCTCAGCTTCATGAGTGCTGTGGTTACACAGCACACCACCATACCCGGTGTTTATTACTATTTTAAACCGTTAAAAATGTACTGCTGCCATCTTCATGAGTGCTGCCATCTTCATGAGTGCTGCCATCTTCATGAGTGCTGCCATCTTCATGAGTGCTGTGGTTACACAGCACACCACCATACCCGGTGTTTATTACTATTTTAAACCGTTAAAAATGTACTGCTGCCATCTTCATGAGTGCTGCCATCTTCATGAGTGCTGTGGTTACACAGCACACCACCATACCCGGTGTTTATTACTATTTTAAACCGTTAAAAATGTACTGCTGCCATCTTCATGAGTGCTGCCATCTTCATGAGTGCTGCCATCTTCATGAGTGCTGTGGTTACACAGCACACCACCATACCCGGTGTTTATTACTATTTTAAACCGTTAAAAATGTACTGCTGCCATCTTCGACAAAGTAGCCTGTGCCTTCACCTTCAGAGTCTCAATACAGGCTATGGATTTTCTTGAACCTCTCAAATCACATGCTTTTGCTTTAATTTTTTTCTTTTTAGTATCGTTCATTTCTGCTCTGTGCCTGTGCTATTTATTACTTTAAATTAATCTTTTATTTATTTATTTATTGTATGTGTATGGGTGTTCTGCCTGCATGTATATCTGTGCTGTGCACATTGTGTACAGTGCCCATGGAGGCCAGAAGAGGAAATCAAATCTCTGGAACTTGAGTTAAGGTTGTGAATCACCATGTTGGTTATGAATCACCAGGACCAATGGAGGAATAGTCAGCACTCATAACTGCTAAGCCAACTCTCCAGTCCATTTCCTAATTTCTTAAAGTGGCAACTGAGGCCATGTAGACCCTTTTTTCTCCCCTAACATGAGGCAATAGTGCCATAAATTTCCCTGAGTATTGTTTTAGCTATATCACAAAATACAGGACCAACATGCAAAAGCCAATTGTATTTCTATATACCAACAATGAACACATATAAACCAAAATCAGAAAAATAATACCATTTACAGCAACACCACAAAAATAAATATTCAACAGAAAATGTACAGAATGTATGCTGAGACCATAAAATGTTGATGACAGAAGCCAAGGATGTAAAGACAAGCTGTTCACAGACCGAAAAAATATTTTAAGTGTGCCAAGCTCCCTTCCAACTATCTATGTAGTCAAGGAAAGTCCAGTCATAACTGAGAAGTTTTATACATATAGCTGATCCTGAAATTTACATGAAAAGGTAAAAGACAAGTCAAATAAATTCAGAAAAGGAAACATAAAGCTAGAAGAATTAAAGCACTGGATTAAGACTTCCTAAAAGTTCTGGTCATCGTCGTGGAGCTGGAGCAGAGTCTGCACATGGGCCTGTGCCAATGTGCTTCCTGACAGAGATGCAAAAGAAACTCAGTGGAAAATGAGCCTCTTCAATGAATGGTGCTACAATTAGACATCCTCTGCATGTTCTCAAATACAAACAAAAAGCAGACACCCCGTGGTTTAAACAGTCAACTGAAAATGATCATAAATCCTCAAGCACTGTGTCAATCATGAAATATTTTAGGAAACACAGAAGGAAATCTTCGGATTTCTTAAACAGGACCTCAAAATGGCACAATCCATAAAGTAACAAACAGACCTCACCAAATCAGAAATTGTGCTATGTGAAAGTGTTAGAACAGAAATGACAGACTGCAGTTTAGACTGGGGACAGCGCATGTGACAAGGACTGCATTCCTACAACATGTAAGTATTCTAAACTCCACAGTAAAAAACTCCACCTCAAAATGAACAAAGGATTTGAACAGACCTGTTGCCAACAAAAAATACCAAGGTGGTAAACAAGAATCTGAAATGATATTCATCAACAGCCATTAGGAAAATGCAAATTAAAACCATGATGAAGTTTCTCCATACAGCCATTAGGGTGGCTAAAATACAGAAAACATCAAATGTTGGCAAAGACTCGGCATAATTGTCATCCTGTTGATTTTCTAAGCACTGAGTAAATGTGCTGACAAGTGAGCTTGTGGTTTTGGACAGACCTGCCTTCCTCTTTACTCAACAGAATAAACTGCACATAAATGAACTCTGTGTGTGAAGAATCTTCTAGACTTGGACTATTGTGCTCACTGTTTCCTCACTGTTGAAAGCACTATTGCATTTGTATTTAGTCTTTATTCTGACCTAAAGCAATTGGCAAAGGTCTTCTGAACAGGTTTCCATAGTAAGTTTGTCAGCTTCTCGGGTCACATAATTTAACTGCCCTTAGAGTGGAACAGCTGGAGGCAGTGGGAAAATCCATGGGCCTTACTATAGGTGTGTTCAAGACAACTGTGGCTCACCCCAGTTCTAAGGGAAAGCGCATCAGGAGCTATCAGGACCAGAGCCACCCTGCACTGAGCTAAGTACTTACTGGTGGTTTTGTGGTGAAATCTCCCCCTGCTTGCCCAGGTCCCAAGGTCATCCTGAAGGGCATTCCTTCCCTGATCAGATCCCAGCACAAGGACTTTCTCAAGTCTTTCCACTCCCCACACAGCAAGCATGGCAGAGTCTGAGGAGTGGCCAGGCTGAAGGACTAAGACTAAAGGGCAAAGCTGTGTCACAGGCCAGGTCTTTCCAAAGAATAGGCTCCACTTACAAACTGGATTGTCGGGCATCAGCACGTCTGGGTGGAACACCATCTGGCCCCAGGTGACCATAAGGCACACTGCAGGTGAAGGCCCAAGACACACTGCTACAGCCAACATCCCACTGAAGCCCTAGTCTTCACAACAGCCACATCAGGCTTCAAGGCATATACTTTATTAAACTACCTCCCAAACACTAGAAACTAAAAGTCAACTGAGCTGTAACAATTTATTTACAGAGTACTACCTACAGACCAATCAGTGCTGACCCTGGATCTTCCCCAGCCGCCCACCAAGCCCATCCTCCAAACAGGGCTGGCAGCACCAGACAGGCAGAGGGTGTTGATATCCACCTGAACAATGGTGTATCAGACAGAAGGGCACCAGTCCAACACAGAAACAGACAGACGGACGGACGGACAGACAGACAGACAGACAGACAGACAGACACACACACACACACACGTATAGCCCCAGTCCTGCCAGGAGAGCTGAGGAGCTGCCTCAGGGCTTCTTCAGGCTATAGGCCAGGCTGCTGGGAACCCTACTGGCTTTCAGAGGCGGTGAGTTCCAAGCAGCAGAGCTAGTGCGCTTGTGGTAGCGGGGTTTGCTCTTCTTAAAGATGTCCTCCAAGTCCAGTGGGAGAATGGTTCCAAAGAGCTCTGCAAGGTTCGGGGGGTGGTAGTACTGGTGGATGATGGCCTGGCTGAGCTGGGTGCCTGAGGAAACCAGAGGCCTGAATCACTGCCTGGTGCTCTCTGTGAGCTTCCCTGATCCCTGCACCTACCTACAGAGTCCAGCCACCCTCTCCATACCAGCATGCCCTGCTCCTGCTCTATCTGCTCCTCTGGAGGCCTCCTTCTGCCCATCCACTCCCAACACTAATCATGCTCTTATCTCCATCTTCTCAGCAGTCAAACTCAAACAAAGCACCCCAGGAGTAGGCATTGGCAATAATTTATCCTCCCCATTTTGTAGGAGGACTCTGGTCAAAAGCACAAGGCTGGTGAATGGCAGAGTAAATGTGAGACAAGCCTGTCTGCAGATGTTAAGCCTTCTTGCCTGGCTACGCCCACCAACCTCACAGATCCTAAGGCAGAGCTGTGAGAGTCACAGCCCTGCCAACCAGGCTGAGGAGGACTCTCCAGGATGAGGAGGGACCACACACTCAGGAACTGTTCCTGAATTACTTCACTCTCAAAATCGTCTCAGTTGGGTCTTAATATCATGTCCTCTTCACAGATACAGAAACTAAGTAATCCAACACCAAGTACTACCGGGAGACTTTGCTGGCCACACTGGCCCTGCTTGAGTAGCTTAGGAAAGCAAGAGTCTAGTTACTATGCATGGGATTCAAACAAGGTCAGCGTCATGAGAGCAAGTTGTCAGCCTGTTGAGTGCTGACCACTGGGATTTAAGGACCTTTCTTTTGAGGTCAGCACCCTGTGCTCATCTTGGGTTCACCAATCCTAAAAAGCACCCTAAAAAGCCAGAGACAGCATCACACCCCTACATAAATCTGAGACCTTGAGACTCAGGGCTAATCCTGCGCCAGTACCAATGCCCCTCCTCATGACCATTCCTAGCTCTTAAATCCAACCAAACCCTTCTATGCCCTCATTTCTATGCTCACCCACGGGTGCTTGCATGGGTACAAGTCTCAAGAGTCCTGCTGGGCCAGACTCTGAGGAGAGGACTCAAGTTCATATCACATAGCTACATTCAACAAAAGTAAAGAAACTCAACATCCTTCATCCTATTCATCCTCCTACCTCTAGGAGCATGGTCAAAGCCCAACACAGTCCTCTCGGGCCAATGCCATAAGTCTCTAGGTACTAGCACACCAGCCTATACACCTGCAGCAGCTAAGCCACCCCTTCCACACCCCACAAAGGTGAGGAAGGAAGGTGGCCCAAGCCTCAGGAGTTCTGGGCTCTGCTCACCTCTGGCCCAGGAAGGGATGGGTTTCCGGGGATGAGCCTCATCATCCGTGGAGTCATCACTGTTTAGGTCCATTCCATAATTATCTATGCTGATCTTGGGGTGGGACTTGGGTCCTTGTGGAGTCATTTGATATGAAGTACAAACAGGAGACTGGAAGGAAATCAAATGGCCATTACTCCCCTCCCCTGCATTTCTAGAGGACACTGACACTCTGGTCATCTCTACTCACTTCTCAAGGAGAAGAAAAATGAAAAGCTTTCAGGTCACTTTTTCATTTAAACAAGTCAGGCAATATAAACCACTTTGTGTCTGCTAACTTTCTTCCACTTTAGAATGTCCCTCCCTCAGACATGCTTCAAGACACACCATGACTTCAACTAGCCCTCTGTTCCTTTAACTTCAACAACTTGACTTGGTGGTAGTGATAATGTATTTTCATTCTTTCTTTCTTTTTTGAGACAGGGTTTCTTTATGTAACAGCCCTGGCTGTTCTGAACTCAGTCTATAGAGCAGGCTGGCCGCAATCTCATAGAGATTCGTCTGCCTCTACCTCCTGAGTGGTGAGATTAAAGGCATGGACCACCACTGCCTTGCCTTTTTGGGGGGAAGGGGGACGATAATGTATTTTCTAAACAATTTAAATGCTCATTCATCAACAGGAGCTTGCTAAATCCCAATGTGATTAACTGGGACATAGTCATAAAGAAAGAAATCTACATATGTTAAGGCAGATGTCTAGAGTAGATATAGTAGTGCACTCAGAAGACAGAGACAAGTAGAACTCAGAGTTTCAGGCCAGCCAGCTACATAGCAAGATACCATCTCAAAAACAAGTTGTGTATTTTCTAAATAATATTCTAGCTTTATAATATTAAAAAACTATGCATCATGAAAAATAGTAAAAAGAGAAGTTAGGTATAGGCCTACATGCCTATAATCCCTACAACAAGGAAGTTAAGGATTAACATTTGTAAAAGAATTACAAATTTGAGGCCAGTCTGAGTTAGAGTCAGACTGTGTCAGGAAAAAGACATGAAAAAAGAAAGAGGGTGACTTGCCTATCCTTCTCCTTCAGGCTCTACCCAGCCTGAGTTAGAGTCAGACCATGTCAGGAAAGAGGGGAAAAAGAAAGAGGGTGACTTGTCTGTCCTCCTCCTTCAGGGTCTCCCCAGCCTGAGTTTATGAGCAAACAGAGAATGGGCAGGGCCTCCCACTGGGGCACAGGCCTCACCTGCACATCCACAGTCACATTCAGGACCTTGCTGACTGCTGCTGCCTCCTTGGCCTTCTTCGCCTGCTCTTCCTGCATTCGCTGCTCAGCCAGGCGCTGCTGCTCTTCCTGGGACCCAGCCAACAACAAAGTATGTGTGTTCCCCTCTCCTCTTGCCACTGTTACCCCATGTGGCAAGGCAGGCCTGCCTGAAGAGTCTAGCCCAGGCTTCCTGATTGTCTCGCCTCAGAGCTTAGACTAGACCCTACAGGGAGCCCATATTCCCAGCATCCTACCTTCTTTTTCTTCTCCTCTAGTTCCCTCTGAAGTTGTTCCTTCTGTAGCCGCAGAGCTTTCTCTCTCTCCTGCATCTCCCTGAGGGTCACAAGAATCTGTGAGGGCAGTAGTGGAGCCCTAGCCCCATTCCCAACCCAGAAAGGGAAGTAAGGCTTGGTGGCCATGCCCTTAGAGAACGGGGCAGTAGAACTGGACACCAGCTTAGAGTCAACAGCTAGACCCTCCAAAAGCAAGATTCTGAGCCTGACTTAGAGTCTAAAAACACACAGTCCCTTCCACTCTTCCCTGCAAGTGAGGTCTCTGAGCCTCAGCCTTCTCTTTTCCCCCAGCCTTATCACAACCACCACACGAAACAACAGAGCACTCAGCTCCACCCATAGCGCAGAGGGGTTGGGGATGGGCTTTGGGTGTCACCTCCACACTCAGGAGCTTGACCTCAAACAAGTCATTTAGGCTCCCATTTTCTTCTGTAGAGCTGATAGTTGTCTCTATGCCATAAGAGCTTCAAGTAAGGATAAGAAAACCTGCAGAGCATGCAGCTGAGAGCTACCAACCACAACACCCATTATCTCTCACCAAGGGAAGCACAGGGGCCAGGGCTAAAGATGATCAATGTCCTACACTGCACTACAAGCAACCCTCCTGCCCATGATGCAGCCTAATGGAGAAGTATTAGTCTGTCCTAGTCTGTTCTCCCACCCTACTATATCCACGGAGAGAGACATCGAAGGGGTTAACACATTTTGGTGGAAGCAGAACAAACCATGGAGTGACCCCTAGTTGTTCCTCCTTGAATCACCCACAGATAACGTATACCCTATTTGGTGGTCCATCAGTTATAGGCCATCTGGTTTTGAAACCAAGGGAAAGCCTACCAATCTTCAGGTGAAGATGAGGGCTGCCAAACAACGGCAGTGCTGCCTCTCACTCTCCACACAGAACAGTAGTAAATGGCCAGTGGGTGGCCTCACCTCTTGGCCTGAAGACATTCCTGCTCCCTCTTGCGTTCCTGCTCCTTTCGCAGCTCTTGCTCAGCCAGCTGCCGTTCCTGCTCTCGCTGCTCTGCCAGTCGTCTGGCCTCAGCTGCCTTGTGCCGCTCCTGTTCCTCCTCCTTCTTCCGCTGTAGCATTTCTTGATGCCGCCGCTCCTCTTCCTCCTGAGTTGGCAATGCATCGTAGTGCGGGCCACGTAAGTCAGGCTTGGGCCCACAGCAACAAGTCAGCCAAGGGCTGAGGGGCTGCTCCTGCCCATAGTGCAGGCTCCTAAGGCACTGGATACCACTATGACATCAGCTAGAGCTGAGTCACCAGACTCCTTGGCAAGTTAAGTTTTATAAGCCATGACCAGACGGAAAAGACACCTGGCTACTGCTACAGAAGAACTAACAAGCAAGAATGGAGCCTGGATTTAAGCTGTGTACAATGGGCAAGCCATCTGACCCAATGATCACTTTCCCATCTGTAAAACAGGACAAGAGCAACACCTGCACCTCATGGAGCTGTTGAGTTAACACATGAATACTTAAGACATGTCTGTCACAGCAAAAGTAAACCATACTGGTTAGTACTAGAACTCCCCAATGATGAACATTTGTTCCCTACAGTAGCAAGACTGCCAGTTCCCAGGGAGAGGCAGGGCCCTACTCTTCCAAGCATAAGGTTCAAAGATGGAGGGAGGGTAAGTGCAATCACCTGCAGGACATTCAGAATATACCAGGCATGGCATACTTCATATACATTAGTGAATTTTGCTTTCAGCTACAACCATAGCAGCAAGATTGCTGCTACTTGAGTAACCTAAGAAATAGCAGCTGTGAGGCGAAGCCAGACACCAGATGTAGAGAAGTCCTCAAACTTCAGTATCTAGAAAAAGTCACCACCACCACCCAACCTTCAAGTCATCGAGAAGATCTAATATGATCCAGTCTACAGAATGGGAGTGTACAGCCAGGCCTCATGGCATGGAGGCCTTCAGTGCCTGCCGTACCCATTTCTTCCAGTCCCCACCTGTAGTCGCACCTGCTGGAGCAACTTGAGTCTGCGTCCCTCCTCCTCCTGCTTCCTGCGTGCCTCTACCTCCTCCATCTTCTTGGAAGCTGCCTTCTTCTTGGCCTTCTCTGCCAGCCGCTCCTCCTTAGCCTGCAGAATCACTCCCATGTACTCTCTGGAGCAGCCCCTCACTCAGCATGGAGAATGAGACCCAGAGCTCTGCGATAGGTACCCCCATTCCACTACAAACCCTGCTTGCTGCTCAGAGCCCAGGGAAAAGGCATAAAAAGTGCCCAAGACTGCCCACTCACAAAGGGCTGCTGGGAAGATTTAGAGTAAACTTCCAGAATTTAACTTGCCTCAGAAGAGACTCCAGAGCCCCTGTGACAGGAAGCAGGGTTATACAGACCACCCAATCACTGACTTGTAGAGGAGTCTAGTCCCAAACTTCAGGCTGCCAAGCCTGAAGTGCCTCCACCCATCTACAGTCTCGCTGCCCATCAGCCCAGACTTACCTTCTCTGTCTTCTCCTCAATCTGGGCAAACTTCTGCTCAATCTGCTTCTTCTTTTCCTCCTTCATCTGCTCCACCCGCTCACGGGCCTGCATCACTTTGCGGAGGCGCTCTTCACGTTTCCTGTGGGCACAGCACAGTTGAGGAGAGCCTGACTAGGCTGGAGAGGCTGGGCTGGTAGCGGGGACACTTACAGCTTCACCTCCTCCAGACGCCGTCGCTTGTCCTCTTCCACCTTCTGTCTGCGCAGCTGCTCAGCCTCCTCCTTCCGCCGCAGGTTCTCCAGGCGCTGGCGCTCCTTCTCCTGAAGAGTGCGGCGGGGGGGAGGGGGGGTATGTGAATGAAGACACCCACGAACCCCAAAAGCTGCCTGGTAGTGTGCGTCAGTTCTCAACCAGACATGGAGGCAGATGCCTCTCAGGAAGAGATGCCCCAGCACATACCAGGCAAGCGCAGGCATTCAGTTTCTCCTTCCAGGTGCACCTGAATGCATCCCCAAAACCCAGCCATAAGCAACACAAAAAGCGCCTCAAATTAGAGTATAATTATATAAACAGCTTGAAGAAAAGACAAAAGACTAAGAATGCCAAGAGAAAGGAAGGCAACTTACAAAGTGTCCGTTAATGGGAGGGCAGGATGAAGGAACAGTCATTTATCACTACTACTATGACTTTCGACACATGCTAGGAATATTGCACATGCACCACTCTTAAAAAAAATAAAGTGCCATCGAATGTTAACAGTTACAAAGGCTAGTGAGCTACATCAAGGATGGAATGCCTTTCCTTTTAGTTTCCAAATTCCTTGTGACATGCCTGTGTTGTTTTTAAAACAACATTAAGAGATAGCTAGCTGTACAGCAGATCAGTGCTGGCATCACCTCCCAGGCAGATCCAGAAAGCCCATGGGGACGCAGTCATATCTATACACAAGAGCAAGGGGAGGGGCTCCAAACTTTCCCTGGCCAAGGATTAGACTATTGCTTTCCAGCACCCACAAGGTGTTTCACAACCATCTGTAACTCCAGTTTCAGGGGATCTGATGCCCTTCCTGGCTTTCCTGGGTACCAAAGCATTCAAGTGGCGCATGATGCACAGACATATATGCAGATAAAACATCCTTTCATGTGATGTGTGTGTATGTGTGTACGTATGTGTGTCTAATAGAAGACATTGCCAATGTTTTTTAAGTCAATTAGGTGGTTTTCATAAATGTACCAATTTAGATAGGTTCAAAAATCTTATCTGGAAGGATAGCAGCTAATCACCGTATGACTCAACACAATTCCTACGACATCCTCCAAAAATATTCCTAGTGACTAAGAACAGGTATGTGGCAGCTGAGATTAGAGAGGATGAGGATGGTATGGACGAGAAGGAGTAGTTAAAAGCTTTCTGTGCGTAATGAACATGGACATAGTCTATATCCCAATTATGTTAATGGCTACATAAATCATGCAAAAATTCATAGAAACACACCTTCCCCCAAATTTCACCTTACTGTGATTTTTTTTAATTAAAAAAAATTTTTAAGAGAGAAATGGAAAGAAAGAGGGACATCAGGAGCTATAGAAGCCAAGCTGGGTATTCAAGGGCCTGAAAAGCACTGGTCTTTGGGGAATCCACATGGAAAAAAAAACGGGTCACCTTTACTAGGTCCCTGGTTCTCCAACCACTCAGACTCAAGAAGAACCATACATGGTGAAACACACCTATAATCCCAGGATTTGGGAGATAAAAGCAGGAAGATTAGGAGCTGAAGGCCAACCTGGGCTACTTGAGATCATGTCTTACACACACACACACACACACACACACACACACACACACACACACACACACACACACACACAGAGACTGAGTCCGAGACCAGAAGGGTCACACTCCAACTTTCTCTCCCACACTACTGTACACACGTGCTCTCCTTGGGAAATAAAACATTCCAGAAGCAAAGGCTGGGTGGTACCCAATGTTCCCCACCACCACTCTCTATTCTCCTCCTGCTGCCAGTCAAACTACAGCCTTTTACTCTTAAGCTTGAATGTTAAAATTTCCTAGCACCAGCCAGAGCATTTATTCTATTGATTATTTGATTAGTGCTTTCAGAGTCTTTCATGTTACAGAATTCATTTCTCCTCTGGCCCAGACTTCAAATGAGCTTTGGTCATCTATATTCCCAGAACCAGCCTCAAGGTCCAAATAAAATGGGAGGAAACTACAAGCTGGGGTAGCCCCTTCTGCCTGGAGGCTTCACCTGAGCACTCTTGTTGCACCCTTCCCCCATGGGGGTCTGCTGACCAGCTTTTGACTAGGAGCTTCTAGCAAAATACCTCTTGTCCTCTATTGCCAGTAAAGCCTGAATGCAAGCTCCTATTTTCCACCCATCCTTATTGTCTAAATTCAAGTTCCTGTTGTCCACCTGTCCTTTGCCAGAGGGACCTGGGAATGTGAGCTCCTGACCTTGGTAGTTTTCCACTGTGCCTGCTACTGGTATTTAATGCTTTACTCTTGTTACAATAAATGCTATTCTCCTTGCAAGAATGAGCCATTGTCTTTGTCTTCATTTAAAACCTTAGCCCTTCGCCCAGATCATTGAGAAGTGTTGTAGCCCCGCACCATAACCGAACTGTTTGCTACACATTCTCCCTGCCATGTGTCCCCAAAACTACTTTATACAAAGCCGTGCACTCAATACATACACACTCGCTCTTCAAGTCACCAAACCTCTTGAAGTACTACCCACTGCTTTCTCCATTTTGTAGCTGAAAAAACTCAGGTGACCAAGGCCCAAAACATTTCAACCTTCCTAGTCTCTGGTATCTGAGCTATACCCACCAGACACCCTGTGCAGGGACTTGGGTTCCCCAAAGCAGGGAAGGACAACTTGCAGTACCTCTTGGCCATCCATGCCCATGATACCTGCAAGGTCCTAGTCAATATAGATAAGGGGAGGAAATGAATGGCCAACCAAAGAAGGAACAAGTCAAGCCCTTCTTCACTGCCAGGTACAAAAATAACTCCATGAAGCCACACAGCTGGCTAACTAACATACTAGGAGACACGCTGTCATCTTGAACAAGCAGAGAGGAGAAGTCTTTGCTCAGGATAAGCAAGCTCAGCACCCATCTGGCCAGATGCTGAGACCTTCCCCTGTGTCAAGGCATCAGCTAATGACAAAAGCCCTCCGGGTATCTTCACAACTCTCCTCTCCTCTAACGAGGGCTGCATGAAGACGAGAAGCAGGCAGGTGTACAGAGAGCTCAGCTACCCAGGACATCTACATGACCTGAGCAACAAGCACCCCTTTTCCAACAAAGCACTGAGCAACTGCTCTGGCTGCAGTTACACACAACCCTTTCCAGAAAAAGCAGTACCCTTCTCCTTCCTGGAAATTCCGTTTATAGTTTGTGGTTAAATGCACCCTGGAATCCATCACAGAACTAGAAGGAAGTAAGCCAAAGCAGCTTTAGATTGCACACATAATAAAGCAACTTGTGTCCTCAGCGTGAACTTTCAGGGGAAACCCCTGATTAACATCGTATGCCTATGTATCACTGGCCATGCATATTGTTAAAATTATTGGATGTACAACCCATACCTGTATAGGTCAAATTTTCAACTGTCAATCAGAAGTTTACCAGAATAGAAAACCTGTAGCAACCAGTTCCCCTTTCTCCTTGTCCCTGTAGTGTTTCTACCCTGCACTTCCACTTTTAAATCCCAGACCTCTGAGAAGGGCAAAAGCGCCTGCCACCAAGACTGACAACCTTACATATCCCCAGAACCTACATGATGAAAGAACAGACTTAAAACAAACAAAACAAAAAAACTGCCCTCTAACTTCTTTTCAAGAATGTCCCATAGCATGTGCTTGCACATACATGTACACATACATACATACACGAGAATAAAATAATTTTAAAGGAAATCCACACTATGTGTATGCGTGTGCACTTTGAATTCTTTAAACAGATGCTAAGAAGGTAAGAAATAACTGGTCTACACAGCAGGCACAGTGAACAGGACTGTGGGGCCCCCAGGTCCTAGTTCTCCAAAGCTCTTGCTCACAGCAAATGACCCAGCCCAGCTCAGCCCAGCTCTGAGGTGTCTGGGAAAAGAACAGCATCTTTGGTCTTGTTTCCAGATGCCAATGACAACAGCTACATTGTAACTTGCATAGCAGAAGCCAGCACCAGTTTAGAGCTACCAATCCTACCCCATCACATACCCCATCAGAGCTACTATTCAGGTCTACGACCCAATAAATCTCAGTGGCTCTGGGCAGAGACATGTCTGTTCTTTTCTCAGACCCTCAGACCCCAGTGCTGGGGATGAGGAAGTAGATGGCTGTGGGAAGCACTTTTAGCCATGGCCTGGATAAACCCTGCAGGTCACAGCCCTCCTATGTCCTCCCTAGAGCAGAGTAAGGGCAGAGGGAATCTCTACAGTGGGACCAGAGCAGTTGGATCTCACCAGCTATCCTGTGCCCCCCACACACACATCTGCCTTCCTACCACTCCCACTTGCGATGTTAGTGCTTCCACAGCGCTGTCAGCTACACAGTGACATGGAAATAGCTAAGAACTAGGTGCAGCTCTGTTAAGGGACAGGAAAAGGCTTTACTTACAACAAAGCTGCACTGTGGAGAGGAAACAGAAAAATACCGAGAGTTAACGCCAAGGGGTGTCCTACAGGGCAGGCCGTGCGCCCATCTGTGGCAGTGAGTGTGCTCCATACACACTGCCACCTCACCTCACCCAACCCTCCCTCCCAAGTCACTCCCACCACTTGTCTGTGACATGATGGCCAGTGTCAAGTCTGCTAAGCCATCCTCCCACTTTCCAGCCTAGGGCTCACCAAGCTTCTGAGTCACAGTCCTGAGTTCATCAGGTGAGCGCAGCACCACAGTATTGAAGCAATCCCTTGCTACAGAAGTTTTAACTGGCCCGTGATCAGTGCCCAGGCCCACACTACTCCCAGCAAACTAAGAGAGCCTTCAAGCACACTGCCCCAGCTCCAGCAAAGCACAGCCAGAGGACAGGCCCCCTTACCTTAGGGTCCACACGGAGTGGAGTGTTACGTTTAATGAAGGACTTCATGACACTGCTACGGGAGGCCAAAGTAGGGGTCATGAGCATCTGGTTCTTCTGCACTGTGTGCAAGAAAGTCCGGAGGGGCCGTACCACCTGCAGACCAGGGCCAGGGTCAGCACGGAGCAGCAGGGCACATACCAAGCAAGGACAAGAACCTGCTTACCTTGTTGGCTGGACAGGGTGGGGAGGGGGTCTTGTTCCGGGGGGGTTGAAGCTCCTCATCCTCTGGCTGCTCCTCATCTGGTTCACTCATTGCCTGCTTGTAGCTGCGTTTCCTTCTGCTCAGGACAGGACACATCATGAAGAGAACCTGAGAACCCACCTCATAGCCCTACTTACTACATTCTATAAAGATCATCCTTTGCAAACAAGTCTGGGCTCAAGTCACAGAACTCCGAACTGGAAGAGGCTGCAGACCAGCCCTTTGCTGCCCAGAAAAATGTCCTTGGCCAGTCAAAGGTCACAAAGCCAGAGGGATATGATTACCCATCCTCAAGCCAGCATCTACAGCATCAAGCTGCTTCCTCTGTTTAGTCAGGGGAATCAAGTCATGACACCAGCCAAGAAGCAGAATGCTTGGCCACATACCTACCCTCCCTACACAAGGGCCCCAGCGTGGTTCAAGCCCCTCTAGAATCCTCAGAACAGAGCTGCCTGCACACCCCTTCCCAGATGCACACCTGACACTCTGAGGTGCTTTTCTGTGTCCATCTGTTTGGTCAAGCTTGGCTTCTGTGAAGAGAGCAATTTCAGTGAAGTTGTATGGATGATGCCGGTGGAGTACAGCAGCAACAGTTACAGCAGGAGCAAGGTCCCCTCCTGGCAACCTCAGGGTGGTCAATGGCAGAAGCACCAACCTTGGCAGTAACTAGCCTTAAGCCCAGCATACTGGCCCCCAAATCGGGTCCTCCAGTCCTAATACTTGACAACTGTGACACAAATGACAGGACAGTATCACCAAAGCCTCAATCTACATGCCATTCCCTCTATCACAAAAAGCTATGTGCAGAAACCTTATGACAAGCTGAAAACTACTACAATCAAACACACCTCTCTTAACCTTCAGTTAGTACCTCCATGACAGGAGAAGGTTCTTTTCATGGGGACATCATACAAGGCAGAGGTCACACCAAGAGGAAGCGCCCTTTATTCCAAAGGGTTTTGGAGCAGTCCTGGGAGCTTTCAGGCTGGCACAACTATCCTTGGCCCCTTCATAAACAGGGTACTTTGCTCAAACCTCACAGCTGCCATTTCTTCACCCCAGAGAAGTCCGCCTCCACAGAGAGACAAGAACCAAACTCCAAGAGCCTACTAGTAGCCTGGTAAGCCAGGCAGGGCTCCTGACCAACTGCCAAAGCCCACAATAACCCTGCCCTTTTTCAACTAGAAAAGTTAGAAACAAGCCGGGAACAAGAGGCCAAATAGGCATTCAGACCCCAGCCTGTATTTTTTCTTGAATCCCTCGGAGTGAGTACTTTCCTACCTTTGCCTCATTAAGGCCCTTCCCTTTGTGTTTCCTAACCAGCCAGCTATAGTTACTCATGTGACAGTCAGCAGCAGCTCTAGCCAGAAGGTCATGGCCTCTTCAGGCCTAATTTATCTTTGGCCTACAGACCAGAAAATGGGGCTCTGTATCCCAAGAGACAGGGCCAGGCCAACTCACCTTGCTGCTCTTCAATGGCTGTTGCCTGTTCAGTGGCCACAGGCTTTGAGGTAGGTGTACTAATCACAATCTTGGTGGCACTGTGGCGCTTCGAGGTACAGCCACTGTTCTTGGAGCCCTACATGGAAGAACCAAGGCTTGAAGAAGCCCATGTGGATCCTGAGCTCAGGACAGCCGCCGCACATAGCTTCAGACTTGGAGGCTCAAGTCCTACCCCTCTCCAGCCTGTGGCCTTACCTCTGTCTCCTCTGCTGCTTCCTCGGGTTCAGCCTCCTCAATGGGCTCCTGCTCCAGGCTGAAAGGAAAGCACAGCACTGTGGGAACTTTTAGTTAAGCTCCTCCAGTTAGGGTCAATATTAGGTGACCAGACCTGGACCACAAACCAACAGTCTAGGCCGGATAGGAAGACAGCAGCCATTACGAGTGGCTTCCTAAGTAGAGAGTGATGTCATCCTGCCAGGGATCTAATTTAGGATAGGAACCTGTTCTGGTCTGGAGCTTCACTGTCCCTAAAGACCTATGCATTAAGGGCTTGGTTCTCAGTAGAGAGCTACAAGGACAGGTGGAAGCTTGGACTTCAGCTTATTAGGGGTTTATGCTCATGAAGGCGAGTAAGGAACCACGGCCCCCTTTCTCCTATCAAGTTCCAGCCATGAGGTGAACAGCTTTGTCCTACCACACTCCTGTCATGATGTTCCATTCCCCCAAAGCGGCAGAGCAGACTGGTCACAGGTGGAAGGCTCTACAAATGTGAGCTAAGATAAACCATTTTCCTTTGTAAGCTGAATATCTTAGGTATTGTTCCAGTGATTCAGAGCACACAAGTACTTTACCCAGGTCAGTCTCAATCTATGTGGTCCAGAAAAGTCCCATCTCTTTTGAAGCCTACTTACTATGGGGGGCGGGGAGCAGCTAAGCCAAAGATTTGTCCAGAACCCACTTCCTCATCCCAATCACTGAACCTCTGCCCCAAAGGAAGGAAGGGCTAGCTCAGGATAGCAGAATAAGATGTCTGAGAAGTCAGTATCCTGGCCCTAAGTAATGCTAGGTCAGATCCTGACAGGAGGCACCCCTGAGCCCCAGACCACCCCACTTTAAATGACTGTTATGCCTCATTTACAGCCATGGCACTCATAAGCTAGAGCTGACAAGTGATACAGATGGAATGTTGTCTAGAGACCTGACAGTCATGTTGCTTGCTGCCTGGTTACACAGGGACCAGGCTAAGGGAGCATGGCTATCAGGAGTGCTGTGGAGAGTCCAGGATGAGGAGGGAATGCTTAGCCTCAGTAAAAGCTTCCTCCTAGTGGCCAACACCCCCGCCCTCAGTAAAAGCTTCCTCCTAGTGGCCAACACCCCCGCCCCCATGTGCCCTGACCACCCCTGTGGGAGACACTGTCATGGAACTTACCCAACTTTCTGAGGCACTTCGACATTCAGGAGTCTCTCCAGGTAACTGTGACCTGAAGAGAAATGGAAGGGAAAAAAAAAAAAGATGCCATTAGAAACCAGTCAGGAACCAGACCAAGAGATGCAGAAGTTTTGACAAGGGCATAGTCACTGCTGCTTTCAGAGCCACACAGGCCTCTCTGTGCCTGGTCTCACCCTCCTTCATCCTCACAATCCCAATGCAGGGCTAGCTTTATGTCACATGCCTAGCACGCACACTTCCACCTCTTCACTGGGCCAGCAGCACCTTGGAGAGATGGGTGCCTGAGATAACACTGGGCCCCAACATAAGCAGCTTATTCACAGAACAAATATTCATCAAGTGCCTGCTATGGGTTGGGTTCTAAGCCAGGTGCTGGAGGCTCAATGCAATTATAAGGAAAACAGACCACTGTCTGGTCTCCCTACCAGCATCAGATGATCTTATACAGTAAACTAGGGTTCGCACAACGATCAAGTCAAGGATGCTGAAGCCTAGACAGGGAGACCTGAACTGAAGCCAAAGGGGAAGAGGAAGAAGAGGAAGATGGTGGTTTTCAAAGTGTATTTCCCAGCTTCTGGAAGTACTTGAGACCCTTTTGGGCATGCACAGGTCTTAACTATTGTCACCACTGTAAAGTGTGAGTGTTCCTTCTTACTATGTTAGCATTAGCCCAAACAGCACCAAGCAACAGAGTCAAGGAGACAATGCTGAAGCTTAGCACCCATCAAAGCTTCATTCAGCATCAAATCCTATCATCCTATCACCCAGTAAAGCAATGCCCATTTCAATGAGGGAGGATGCCCTTGGAGAAGTATTAATTATAAGCACCATGGTTCCCACTTTTAATCCCAACACTCAGGATGTTGGGACAGAGGGATTGCCACAAGTTCAAAGTCAGCCTGAGCTTTGTAGTAAATTCTAGGCCTAGCTGGACCTAGAGTGAGATGGGAAGACGCTCACCAAGGTCACAAAGTGAAAGAAGGGCGTGGGGGCCTAGAAACAGTCCAGCTCCTGGGTCAGGGAAGTAAGAGCAGAGCCAAGCAGACAAGGAACCAGGGCTGCCCCAGGCCTAAGAAAACAGGGAAGAGGGTAACAAACTGAGCAAACTGAGAGAGAAGCAGGAACTTCTCCTTTCTGGGCTATGGGATCCAGGCTGGGGGCCGGGAGGGAGCAGCAATGAAGTAAGAGTGGCAGCTATCGGTGCCACCGTAATGGGTCTGTGGCCAGAAGACATGCTCCCTCCTCTGCCCTTGCCTCGCTCTCCTAACTCCAAGTTCCTTGACTGAAGGAGGGCCGAGGTAAAAAAGCCAGAAGACACCCAAGTGAACACCTAACTATTCCACAGCACAAAGACTTCCTGGAATGTTAGGGAGCCTCTGCGTGCCAGAACAGGCCTAGTGTCAGGGAAGTGGCCTGGCCTAAGGACTGAGGAGGAGCTACCCTCCAATTTAAAAAGTGGCCACGAAGCCTGAAGGATAAAGCTGACCACCTATACAGCTGGACTTTCTAGAAACTGCATAACAGTGACCCTGGCCCCTGCTTCCTCCTGGGGAACGCACACCAGACCAGGAGGACAAAGGGCTTCAGTCCTCTGTGCTCCACTAAGAATCCAGAGGCCCCTGAACCACCTTTACCACCAGTCTCCTTTTCCTTCCTCCTCCCCTGCTGCAGGTGTGTCAAAAGCTACAGTAGGGAGAGCCAAACAGCATGCTGTCTGAATTGCCCACCCTGCCCCACCTCAGAGCCTGGCATCATAAAAGCATCAGGAAGCCTTGGCCTTGCCCTTTCTCACCCCTTGAGTTTCAGTAACACAGCCCAGGGTTAACTTGTCTAAATGAGCTACTGAACATAACCATACCCAAGCACTAAGATGAGATCTCCAGTTACACTCAAGGCACATGTCATTTCCATTTCAAACAGGAAACTGAGCTTGAGAGAAGGTGTACCCAAGGTCACCTGGGGGCTGAGTGACTCCACATTTTGGTCCCTGACTCCTCCTCTATCTCAAGAAGAAGATTGCTATGCTTAGGATTAGACAGGCTTACTCACACACAGCCCAGAAGCCCATCCATGAGCAGGGAAGGCTGAAGGGGAAGAGCAACAGACAATGCTTAAGAGCTATAGGTCCACTGTTATGAGAACCATCAGTAATTTGAAGCAAAAACAGGAAAGGGAAAGACTCACACCAACAGTGTCACCACTGCGTGTGTAGATTCGGGCAAGTCCACCACCACTGGCCATCTACAAACGTGCTGGAACTGACAGACAAACCATTGAAAAGACTGAAAAGGAGGCTGCCGAGATAGGAAACAGTTCTTTCAAGTACACCTGGGTCTTGGAGAAACTAGAAGTGTGAGCATGGTATCACTATTGGCATCTTCCTGTGGAAATCTTACCAGCAAACATGTGACTATCATTGAAAATGCAAGACATAGATATTTGATCACAAACATCAGTGCAGACATATCTCAGGATGGCTGTGCTGTCCTGATTGTTGCTGCCAGTGCTGCTGAATCTAAGCTGGTAACCCCAAGAATGGGCAGACCTGTGAAGATGCCCTTTGGGCTTACACTCTGGGTGTGAAACAGCTGATTGTCGGTGCCAACAAAATGGGTTCTAACAAGCCACCTTACAGCAGGAAGAGCTATGAGGATATTAAGGAAGTCTATAGGTCAGCAGTGGTGGTGCACGCCTTTAATCCCAGCACTCGGAGGCAGAGGCAAGCGGATCTCTGTGAGTTCAAGACCAGCCTGGTCTACAAAGTGAGTTCCAGGACAGCCTCCAAAGCCACAGAGAAACCCTGTCCCAAAAAACCAAAAAAATAAATAAATAAATAAAAAGGAGGGAGGGAGAAAACTGGCTACAACCCTGACAAGATAGCATTTATATCAATTTCTAGTTGGAATGTTAACATGCTAGAGCTGGATGCTAATATGCCTTGAGTCAAGGGATTAAAAGGTCCCCATGAAGATGGCAGTGTCTTTGAGACCCCACTGCTGGAAGCTACCACCAACTCATGCAACTAACAAGCCTCTGCAACTGCCCCTCCACAATGTCTACAAAAGTGGTTGATATACATTATAGAATACGATTCCACTATAAAAACCGAAATCATGAAATCTGCAGGTAAATGTATGGAACCAGAAAAGACTGTATTGAGTGAGGTAACCTGGAGTAACTGCAGGAACTAGGAAGGCAAAAAGGGGCTGGAGGGTGGAGGGTAGCGAAAGGAATAGCAGGGAAAACATGGTTTGAATAGAGAAATAGAAAAAAAGACAACAACAACAAAAAAAAAAAAACTAGGGACTTTAATTTAGAGGAAGCTGGGCATGGTGGCACACACCTTTAATCCCAGAATTTAGGAGGAGGACCTCTGAGTTCAAAGACAGCCTGGTCTACAGAGCGAATTCCAGGATCACCAGTGCTACAGAGAAACCCTGCCTCCAGGAAAAAAAAAAAAAAAAGCCAGAGTCTCCCCAGTTCCTCATACTCTTCCCATAGCTCCAGGCTCATCCAGCCCTGTGGACCCTCCCCAGGACCAATTCCAGGATTGAAGAAATCTAAGAAGGACCTGTGACACCCACCCCACCCCAAGCCTCCTGACAATCCAAACGGACAGTGTGTCAAACCTCCTGCTGCACATGGCCCAAACTGTTTCTCCAGGCTGCAGAGCCTAGAGCCAGGCCAAAGAGAACCTTCCAGAGTGTGGTGTCTTCACCTGTCTGACAAACCCCAGCCCTTCTGGGATGGAATGCAAGTGAGCTTGAGTCCCAATTTCTGGACTCCACAGCTTGTCTACCTCCGTTTCCTCTTCTATTAAAAAAAGTACTGCTGCACAGACATAATTTCTTGCATAAATCTTACAAAAGCCAGGTGAACTTACTTCCCATTTACTATGAAATTTGACCTGTCCTTTGACCTGGGTCTTACAGGAACCTGAGCTAGCCTCCTTCTCTATTTTTACAAGGTGCCTAAGAACCTCCAGCCATCACTGAACTATATCTGCTTTAGTGGCAAGAAGCTCCAGGCAGCCCATCACTTACTGTTTTTGTTTGGTACTCCAGGTCTTTGTGTAAGCTGTTTCCTTGGCCAGAATAGGTAGTGCTAAATTTTCTCCACCTAGCCAGAGCACAGCCAGCCTTCAAAATCTTCCCACAAGTACCCACCCACTCAGACAGCCAACTCTGATTCTCGGGGCTGCCTACTCTCTTTTATGGCTCACAAGATCTATTCCTGCCAGGTCACTGGTCCCCTGACCTTGGATCTGACCATAATGAACCAGCTACCAGGTACTAGCCTGCACAGTCCACGTGGCACATATCCATAGCAGTTTCACCATCAGGAGTTCCATACAGCGACAGTGAAAAAGTCTGTCACTCTAAAACAGCCATGAGGAATATACTGATTGGGGAAAGGGACCATGGCAATACTGGGGCTAACATTCTAGGCCGATTTCCTCATCTATAAACAATGTTGAACTAGATCTGTCACCCTGCAGAGGCAGCCACTAGCCAGCTACATGTGGCCACTTAAATCTAAACTGAAGAAAGTGCAATGAAAATGAAATCTCAGGACCAGTGAAATGACTCAGAAATAAAGGCACCTGTTGCGAAGCCTGCCAACCTGAGTCCAATCATTGAACCAACACAGTAAAAGGAGAGAAATGACCCCTACAAGTTGTCCTCTTGACTTACACACACAGACACACACACACACCATGGCCAGTGTGTGCACATGCACACACATACTATTAAAAAGAAAAACAAACAAAAACCTTAAAATTCTGCTTCTTGGTGGTACATACTTGTAATTCTAACATAGGAGGTAGGGGAGACAGAGGCAGGAGGACTAAAGTCCAAAGCCAGCCTGAGCTACATAGCAAGAGCCTACCTCAAAACAAACAAACAAACAAACAAACAAAAAACAAGGGTTGGGAGCTATTGCTCAGGAGGCATAAATCAGCTTCTTTCTCCATCAGACTAGACACATTTTCAACAGCCAGGCTGTGGCTCCATGCAGAATTCACATGGATATGCAGAAACATCACTGAAGGGTCAATGGAAAGCTCTCAGAAAACACCCCAGCCGAGCCACCCCACACCCGCCCCGCACTCACAGATAATGCGGGCAGAGGCCTCTGGTTCCTTGTCAGCCTTCTTGGCAAGTCTTCTGCTTGACCTACGACTAGCATTTTCTTGTCCAGCCACCAAACAGTACTTTGTGGCTAGCGGCACTAACTGAACATCCCCAAGAGGGTTCTTGGCTGTGGTGGGCAAGCTGTTATTTGGGAGGATAGGAGAAAGCACCCTTTCCTGCCATGGAGAGTCTGGAGAGTCCTGCAGGCCCTGGGAGGCCCGAGCAATCTTGAGCTTCGAAACAGAACGTCCTGCCCCAACTCCTCTGTTCTTGGGGCTCTGGGGTGTAGCCTTGAGGGAGCTCACTGCAACAGATTCCAGCTTCCCTGCCTCTGACTTCTTTGGTGTTGATTCCTCCTCTGATGTCAGGGTGTCTTGGGAAGCTGAAGAAGTGGCTGGAGCCAGGGCTGAGGGTGGAGAAAGGCTGTCTTTGATATGAATGAGGCGCAGCTCTGCATTCAGTTGCTCTCTGGCGCTAACCTCCACCACAGCTTTCTTGATCACTGTAGGAGACCCAGCAGTGGGAGAGGAAGCAGCTGATGCCACAGAGGCTGCAGCTGCTGCCGCTGCAGCCCGCGTTACCCGCCGCAACACAGGGGAGCCATTCTCCCCAGCAATAGTAGCCGGCTTCTCCACCTTGTCCTTGCTGCGGAGGCACTGGGTGCCTAGCTGGCTGCTCCGAGACTTCCTCCGGGATAACCTGTTGTGGCAGCAGAACAGAGGCTGAGACAGCCCAGTAGGACAGGGGCACCCCAAAAATAAAATTATAGAATACATCAATCTCCCTAGTAGCAACCAGCTTCAATGAAGTATGAGCGAAGGATCTGAAGGCAAAACCTGGAGGTTCCAATGTAGACTCTACCACCTCTAGTCATGAGACCCCAGTTTCCCTGAGCCTCAGTCTCCCCAACTACGAATGGATAACGGGGAGTTCCATTACTCATAGAACTGCTGGGAAGAGTAAATTCACACCAACTTCTCAACTGTGACCACACTGTGCTAAGTACCTTCTACAAACTTCACTCTTCCTCTCAATCTGCAAGACTGAGGAGGCAGGCACCATTGCTCCACTTTGGAAAATGAGCAAACAAGAGAGACACAAATTCATTCCAAGGACATACAGCTGCTGAGGCATGAAACTGTGGTTGACATACATACAGGGCTGTCTGATTGGAATGACCAGCATCTTTACCTAAGTACTGTAGCCCCCACCATTCCTGCAGGGAATTATAATCCAACAGGAGTTGGGAACCAACAACCTGGGCCACACCTCTAATTACTCGGCCCTCCTCCAAACCTCAAATCGAGCTCCATCTCCACCTCTGCCACCAATGCACAGAAATTCACACCTGTACTCTGAACTGGGTTAGCACTTCATTTTGCCCATGGCATCTCAACCGTGTCAGTGTGGGGTACCAGCTACCACTGCCTTCAGCTGCTGCCCCTATCAGCACATTCAGAAGCAAACTCTCCCAGAGGACACCTAGTGTCCAGAGACCTCCTCCAGTGCGGCCTCCCCAGCCTTTCCTACCTTTTCCTCATGGGATCTCTGTTTTCATCCTGAATGTTAGACACCCGTCTCTTCTTCCGACGGTTCTTCTGAGAAGGAGTTTTGGGCATCAGCTCTGGCTCACTGCTGAATTCTCTGTTAAGCACAAGGAGAGTGATCATGAGGCTCCCTGGGAACTGCTGAGCCGCCCCTTCTCTCACTAGACTATATTCCACCCCATTCTTGGCAATGACAAGTCCAACTAGAGAGACCATCACCAGGAAAGTTCTCTAAAGCTAAGTGAAGTCACCAGCTGGACATTCAGAGCTTCCTCCTGGTCATATGGCAGGGAAGCAAGTTCACAGGCCACGCACTCAGAGACACCGCTAACTGCAGAGAGCCAGGAGAAGGGCTCGATCGCCTCTTCCCCCGCCCACTGGCTAGGTTGGTCCCAGCACACGAGGCACTCAGAAAGGAAGCCTGACAGACTATTTGTCTTACCCATCAGGACTCCCACCCCAGGATGCCCCTGCCTTTACCTGATGAACATGCGCTCAGCCTCCTCCTCAATCTCCTTGAGCCACATTAAGTCCTTGTTGTCTATGTTGCAGACAAAGTCCAAGAGTTTCTGGTCACATAGATCCAATAGGTGAATGGGCCCTGGGGCTGTGGTCCCCATGGTGGCACTCTCTGGTAAAGGTAGGAACAAAAACCTAAGGATTCAAGGCTAGGAATTAAGACCTTTTCCAGGGAAAGTCTACCAGACTCAGAAATCACACAGAATACCCTGTGTCTAACCCTGTGCATCTAACAATACAGAGTCTCTTGCTGTTGCAGAATTCCAAACACCAACCCAGTGGCCTCATCTCACAAAAAGAAATGACATTACAGTGACCCCGTTATTTTGACAACACCAACAGAGAGCATGACTGTCTGTACAGGCCCACACTTTCATTCTGATATAAACGTTACATGGTCTTTGGGGCTCAATGTGACCATGCACTACCTTCCTGGACCAAGGGGAAACAGCCACCTGCCACACTCTCTCTTTACCCAAATACAGAACTGGTAACTTTCTTGGGGACTCTCCTCCTACTTCTCAAGGATGGGGACTAAGACATGGCCACCCTGTGTTGACCCCAGATACATCATATCCAACTGCCTCTTTAAAATGGCAGTGGAAGGCTTGCAGGACAACTCAGCAGGTTAAGACACTGGTCACCATACCTGATAACCTAAGTTCAATCCCTAGGACCCACATGATAGGAGAGAAATGACTATTACAAGATGCTACATGAGTGAGCTAAGCCACACCTGCACCACTGTGTTCATAGTTTCCTCCCAGGTTGAACCATTCCATCTGCAGGGGAGCTCCTTAAACAAGGCCAACAACTCAAAATAGCTCCAGGAAGTACCTGAAACGGACCAAATTCACTAGCCCCCTCCCTCCCTGCCAGAGTAAAAACAAAAGCTGAGAGTGAGTCCCTCTCACACAAGCACAGCTGAGCTGCAAAGAAGACTCTCAGAGGAGCCCAGCTGCCGACAATATTCTCAGCCAAGCTGAGCTGTAAGAAGCAGAATGCAGCCAAGCTTCCTGGATGAGGCTTAGACTGAGTCACTAGGAAAGGACACGGTCTAACCTGCTGAGCTGGCTGTAATCTGTGCAATGAACTGCGAGATGTCACCAGTAGTGGGGTGGGTCTTGGTGATGAGGCTGTCTTTAAGACATTTCTGCTCCTGTAAGTAACCCTAATAAAACTCACTGGTTCATCAAGTTAGACTTTGGTGGCATCTATACTTTGGTCTGCAGTGGGTTCCTCATCTAGGATGAGTTGACCCTGGAGTGTTTCATGTCCCCAGGTAAAGTTTTGTCACACAACATGCACACATACATACACACAAATATGCAAGAAAATGGACAATAGAGCTGAGAATGGTGGTGCAGGCGAAGAGATGAGCGGTCCATAAGTCCCTCCCTAAAGTTAATGCCCAATAAATGGATGAGGGGCAGTGAGGTGAGCGAGTAAGCAATGTGTTGCTTTCAGGAAAACCTGTCTACAAACACCAGGCAAAACATGATGCAATGCCAGTTTTCTTACTTCCTTAAAAAACTGGGTGCTTGGATATCTGCCATGATCTGGTTACAAAATCCTAACAAAAGTTCTACACTAAGTGGTAGTAGCACTCTGTTACTTTCATAGTGGGGCTCAATAAATACCCCAAGTGGTAAACATACAAACAAGAGATTGGGTGATAGCTACAATACATCAGGTTCCACCTTACATAGGACAGTGAGCCACCACTGAACTTATGCTTTCTTTTTTTTCTAGAATATATAACTTTTATTTTTTTAATTTTACTTAACATTTTTATTTATTTTGCATATGACCAGTTTCCCCTCCCTCCTCTTCTCCTGTTCGTTCCCCCCTTCTCCCCATCTACTCCTCCGAAGTCTCCATTCATAAAGGAGACCCCCACGGGTTTGAACAAAGCATGGCACATCAAGTTTAGGTAGGACCAAGCTCCTCCCCCGGCATAAAAGCCGGGCAAGGTAACCCAGCAAAGGTAACAGGTTCCCAAAAGCCAGCTAAGTGTCAGGGACAGGTCCTGATCTCACTGCTAGGAGCCTTACAAACAGACAAAGCCACACAACTGTCAGACACATGCAGGGGGCCTAGGTCGGTGCCATGCAGCTCCCTAACTGTTGATAGAATCCATGTGCTCCCACAAGCTCAGGTCAGCTGTGTCTGTGAGTTCCTCCATCATGACCTAGACCTCCCTGGGTCATTCAATTCCTCTCCACTTTCTTCAGGACTGCCAGAGCAAGGTCCAGTACTTGGCTGTGGATCTCCATATCTACATCCATCAGTTACTGGGTAAAGGTTCTCTGATGACTATTAAGAACAGTAACGAAAAAGACATCTTGATGGGGTTAGGGAGAAACCTGGCGTCAGGGAAACTCCCAGGGATCCACAAGGATGACCCCAGCTAAGACTGGTAGCAACAGTGGACAGGGTGCCTGAACTGCCATCTACTGCACTCAGACTACCCTACTTAACACTTTCAAAAGCAAAAGCCATGCATGTACACCTCAGCCTCTCACCTACAAAGAAGGCCACAGAAGGAAGGGTAAGATTACTGATCCCCCTAACCCTCCTGTAACTTAATGATGTAGTCTCTAGGATTTTCCTTTAAAGTTCTTCCGCTTGATTTGTGGGGCACATTATCCCTCTGTCCTTCAAACAAGTTCTGCCTTTTAAGAACTCTGTCTCGTTTTAAATAGCTTCTTCACTTAGCTCTCAGATCCAATCCAAGCCAAGATCTCTCACACAGATTCCAGTTATATGCGCAGCAAATGAATGGTTGTTTGTTTGCTTACTGCTGCTCTCTACCTACTAAACATTGCTCCCTGAGGGCAAGCTCCTTGGTCTTGTTCATCAACAAGAAAGTGTGTAGCCCTCCAGATGTCTGGCACTTGTGGAATGAATTCATCCATCCATCCACTAATCCCAAAGCTTCCCTTTAGGGAAGCATCACACACAGGGGCACTCAGTGAGTAACTCACTAAGTACAGGTTAGGACAGGCCAATACACACCCTAACCCCTAAGCTAACTACCAAGGGAGCACTAACCGGGGCAAAAACAAACAGATGAGAGCTAATCACGAGTACGGGCGGCCTTTCCACTGCCACCCCTGAGTCCCCCCCATCCCTCTGCACTAGGCCCTGGCAAAGCCCAAGACTTTAGCTCAAGGTCAGCAAAGAGAAAACTGTTGAAGGACACCAAAGATTTGCAGAGGAGCTACAGAAAGCAGCAAGTGGGTAACTTAACAAAGCATCTGTTCAAACTTGCATGCGAGCTCCTTCCACCGAGTCCAAAGCACACGTCTTCCATGGGGAGATATGCTTTCAGGCAGGCCCTCACTGGAAGTTAGCAGAGCTGACCCTGAGAAGCGAGCGGTAGCAAGAAGACTCCTGGGAAACTCCACTGTTAGCCCAGGAAGGAACAGAGCACCCAAATCCCACCAGGGGAGAAGGGAGGCCACTCCTTCCCATACATACTTCTGCGCCAGTCATCAGATTAGCACCTCCACTGCCATCTCTACCAAGCACCTCTCTGCACACACCTCCAAGCACGAGGACCCATCACTATAGTGGCTCTCTCACTCAGAGTCCTACTCTGGGCCAGGGACCCTCTCATTTCCTTCTTGCCACATACTCCAGGGTACCCATGCACATAAAAGGTGACAAGAAGTCCAAGTCACCCAGTAAGTTGGGAGGCAGAGCCTGGATTTAAACCGCTCTTGACCACAAGCTACAGGCCTCCTGGACACTACGTGCAAGCTCAGACCTGCACAATCCTGACTCTGAGCAGCCTGAGGCTGGATGCAACTTCGCTGCTGACGAGACTGCACTTGCGGGAATGACAAAATAAGAGGCAGGATCGGCCTCCGGACCTGGGACAGTTCAAAAATGCTGCTTAGCTGGGGTGAGGGAAGCTAGGCGCCGTTACGCTACAGAGACTCGGGTCCGGGACCACAGAGCAGCCCAGGCTATGCACTAGGTGTTAGGCCCCGCGTGGGGGAGGGGACTGGCCATTCTCAGACCCCAGGGTCCAGGTGCACGGGAATGGAGGTCACCTCCAAGCCCAGCACCCTTGGAAAGTAACCCCCACATCCACAGGCAACAGGGGCGAGGGTGAGAGGTCAAGCCCCCGGCTGGGCTTGGACCGAGAAGTGGGCAGGACCAGATGCCGAACACCACGACCCCGCCACGCCGGCCGCCTGCACTCACTCACCCGGCGGCGCCGTGTCTTTCCGGACTACTCCGATCCCAGTGCGCGGCCTCCGCAGATGAAGCTCTCCGCCAGGCCCGAGCAGCTGGACTCGGTCTTCAGGGCTCGCCGCGGCCGAGGACCAACGGGGCGGTGAGCGCGGGCGAATCTACGATTTTCAAAACTGTGGTTCAGCCAATTCCCCCCAAGTTTGTCTGGGCGGTTACAAAACTCCAAACCAATCATGTAACAGGACACACGACTGCGGTTTTCTGTTGGCTGTTAGTGCTGTCAATCTGTGGGGCTAAGGGGAAAGAACGTAGACGCTTTTAACACGCCCCAACTTCCGGAAGCCGCGGCTCTCAAAGCAATGAGGAAGTGGTCGCTTGGCCTGGGGCGTGAGGGGAGCTCCGAACTACACGTCCCAGGGCTGCGTGCACTGCGAAGACAGGCTTGGTTATGGAAGGATGCAGACTTATCTTCGGGCCAGCCACTTCTCTGGTCTCAAGTCCAGAATTGTTCTGCTTTCGGAATGATAGCTTTGTGACCTCTGCTATTTTTTTTTTTTTGCGGAGGGCGGGGACTTCGAGACAGTGTTTCTTTGTGGCTTTGGAGGTTGACCTGGAACTCGTTCAGTAGACCAGGCTGGCCTCGAACTCACAGAGATCTACCTGCCTCTGCCTCATGAGTGCTGGGATTAAAGGCGTGGGACACCACCGCCCGGCGACCTCGGGCTATTTTTGATAAGGTGGGAAAAAAACACATTTTAAATCTCACAGAGTTTTCCTTAGAGCAGCGATTGTCACCCAGAATTATTTGCTAAGCACCCTCCAGATTGGACAGCCCCACGCAACGGAGAATTTTCTGGCCACATACATCAGGAAGGAGTGAGCTGAGGGTTACCACCACCTGTGAAAGAAAACACGTCAGTCACCAGTACACTTACACCTCCACCTTCTTTACAGAATCATTCTCAGTAGACAAAAGGTGGGAGAAACTATGATTGTCCATTAACAGATGAAAAAAGGTTTTGTCTGTTTTTTGAAAATGTTTTTTCCTTTTATTGAAAATAGTTTTTTTTTTCTCACATAATATATCCTGATTACAGTTTCCCCTCTCTCAGTTCCTCTCAACCTCCCCTCCCATCCAGGTCCACTCCCTGTCTCTCATTAGAAAGCAAACAGGCAGACTGGAGAGATGGCTCAGAAGAACATTGGCTGCTATTCCAGAGGTCCTGAGTTCAATTCCCAGCAATCACATGGTGGCTCTCAAGCATCTATAATGAGAGCCAATGCCCTCTTCTGGCCTGCATGCATACATGTAGAACATTGTATATATAATAAATCTTGAAAGAAAAAGCAAACAGGCTTCTAAGGGATAATAATAAAGTAAGACACAATAAAATATGATAAGAGCCCAAAACTAACATATTGAAATTAGACACAACACAATAAAAGAGCCAAGAGAAGGCACAAGAGTCAGAGACCACTTGTTTGTACACTCAGGAATCCCATAAAACACTAAACTGGAAGCCATAGTGTGCAAAGAACCTGGGGGCAGATTTGTGCAAGCCCTGTGCACCCTGCCTCAGTCTCTGAGTCATAGAAGCTTTGATCATGTTGATTTAGTGAGCTTTGTTTTCTTGGTGTCCTCCACTGCCTCTGGCTCTTACACTCTTTCTGCCTATAAATGGAGACATCCCATTTACAGCTGAGTATTACAAGGTCTCTCATTCTGCATAATGTCTGGTTGTGGGTCAAGGTATTTGATCCCATCTGCTTTGGGAGCAAGTTTCTCTGATGATGACTATACAGGGCACTGCTTTACGAGTATAGCAGAATGTCATTAGGAATCATTTTATTGCTATGTTCTTTTACTAGAACAGTAGTATTTTACTTAACCCTAGGTCCTTGGACTATCTAGTCACAGATTCTTGGTGACCCAGGCAGTGTCAGGTATGGAGGCTCCATCTGTGGAATAGGTCATAAGTCAAATCAGACATTGGTTGGGTTGCTCTCACAAGTTTTGTGCCCCCATTTTCCCAGCATATCTTGCAGGCAGGACACCACTGTAGATCAAAGAGTTTTGTTAATTCCACTGAACAAGATTAAAGACCATTACCCAAATTCTTTTAGTCAAGTTAAGTAAGCTTTATTTTCTGTCAGACACAGCTATTTCCCTAAAGCAGGGTTTGAAAGAATAACATCTGTGGTGGTATATTATTTATGGTTTATTAAACCTTGCCTGAGGATTCAGAAAGCAAAGTTAGCTTCAAGCTACAGAGATCAAGCAGTGGTGATACACACCTAGCCACAAGCTATGATTAATAAATCGTAAATAATGTATCACCACAAGCATCAAACACAAGAGGACATGGAATTTATATAGTTCAAGAACAACAAGACTAGGAGGTTTTCAAGGGTTGAGGGATTTCCAGAAGGCCTTGTCAGGGTATAGGGTGTGGAACATGTCAAAGTTCCCTAAATTGGGGTCAAAGCCAAGTTACATAAAACAAGGAATGAACTTATTTGACCTTGTAACAATGTGATGAAAAAATTAATAACTAAAAGACATGAACGTTTAGGCTGTGACAAAGAAAGAGAGAACCCTCTGATCATGGAGTACGTGACCAGAAGCTCAAACCCACAGGCAGCTGAGCCAACATCTGCCCATACCCCCTTTCCTTGAGAAAACTGGGAACCAGATAACCTCTTGACCTGCCAGTCGTAAAACTTTTAGATAACAGGATGTGCACTGGTCATGAGCCCCTAGCCCACAGATGTGCCAATCAATTTTACCTAACCAGGTGATAGTTACTACCTTCTTCAAGGCCCTTCATCTCATGATAGCCTTGTATGAAAACTTTGTGTGCTAAGTAATCTCTGTAACCATGGGAACCTTGGGAACTGAGACTTTGGGTCTCAGGACTCCCCCTCCCCTTTTTCCCTTTAAAAGCTTCTCTTTTTGGCTGGTTGGCATCTCATCTCCCCACCATGGAAAGAGATCCAAGCTGGTCAGCTTGAACAATAAAAGAAACCTTTTGCTTTTGCATCGAGTGTCGACTCCTTGGGTTAGTCTCTGGGATTCTGTAAACCTGGCACAACAGCAATATGGCTTCTAATCTTTGGGAGGAGAAGGAGTTGTTGTGGGTTATTTGTACACTGTCTGAAGATGTATTACTGTGACTGGTTTAATAAGGAACTGAATGGCCAATAGCTAGGCAGGGAGAGCAGGACATGGAGCACGGAGATGAGGTAAAAAGTCACAAGGCAGAACTGTAGATTTAAAAATATCAGTTAATTAAGTTATAAGAGCTAGCTGAAAGAAGCCTAGGCTAAACTTTCATAATTAATAAGTCATTGTGTCATTAATTGCAGGCTGGTGGTTCCAATGAGAAAGTAGTACTACTACTGGGGAATCTGCAAGACAGGATTTCTCTGTGTATCCTTGACGGTCCTGTAACTCGCTCTGTAGATCAGAACTCAGAGATCTTCCTGCCTTTGTCTCCCAAGTGCGGGAATTAAAGGGTGCATCATCACCACCCAGTTCTGATCTTAAGATGGAATCAGGCTGGTCCATCAGTTTTTTGGCTAGATTGGTCTTTGTGTTCCTTTTGTTAGCATGTAGAGTTTTTTCCTGTACCAAAGATGTTAGGACATATGGGTGAAGACTCTATGTAAGTACCAGCTTCTACTTCTCAACTTCTCCATGTTCAATGAGTTGGGTAGGTGTTGTCATTGACAATGGGGCCTTGCCATCAATTTGTCCAGAGCAACCTATAGCCTTGGCAACAGCCCCTGTTGTTTGGAGATTCCTTTGGCCAACAACTCAATTAGATCTAGCTCATTCCCAGTACTGGAAGCTTCATTTGGTGACAAGAAATGGTCAGTTAGGGCTCTGCTCCCCTATTATTTGGCAATTTCATTTAGATGCCCTTCATATATGGGTATATTTTAGGAAGTATCTACTGTATTATGTTTCCATACTATCCCTCAAATGCCCCCTAATTTTAGCTGTCTCTTCCTGTATTCCCTCTCTTTCCCCCTTCTCTCCTCCTCCTTTCCACTTGATGACCCTGTGTAACGTGTACTCTTCCCACCAGCTGCTTTGCTGTCTTAGCCCCCAAATAACACACAAACACTATATTAATTATGAAGCTGTTGACCGTTTGCTTGGTTTCTTATCGGCTAGCTCTGACTTAATTATTAACCCATAACGTGGTTTCTCTTACCGGGTCTGGACCACTTACTCCTCTGGTGTCCTACATCGTGACTGACAGTGCTGTGCCTCTGTTTCCCAGAATCCTCCTTGACTCCTAGTCCCACCTATCTTGCTTCCCTATTGGCCAATAGTACTTTACTAATCAACCAGTAGGACAACATATGCACAGAAGGACTTCTCCCATCACCCCTGTTCCAGCCCCCTCATCCATCCATAACTATTTATTCTATTTCCTTCTCTGTAGGAGGAAAACAATGCTGCCATTAACCATGTGACTTACTAGAGACGCGCACAGATGAGGTAATAAAAGAGTAGTTTACCACACCCACTTTAGGCATGACTAAAGACGTATACGGACGTAAGTGGTAAACTACATCACTAGCCAGGCCCACTTTTGGGCATGGCTAGGGGCGTTACGGGGGGAAGGTATAAAAGACTGAATAACAGAAGTCTTGGTCTCTTTTTCCGGCTTTCGGCTTCCAGTTTGGCGGTGGAAAACTACTCGGCTCATCTGGGTTACTTGTTTGGTATCTTGTGAGTAATTTCTATAATAAATACTTAGTTTTACTTTCAGTAAGTGTGCCGTTTATCATTACAGCATCACTTCTCCTAATGAAGATCTATCTGTCCAACCTAGTCCCTTATGAATGAAAATGAAGACATGGCTGTAACAGGGCCCCAGACCCTAATAGGCCCCCAGACCTTAGCACAACTGACTCTATGATGGAAGTGCTATTCAGACTGTAAAACACAGCATGTAGACAGCACCACCTGCCAAAATGAAAACTAAGGTCTAATCCTTCGAAGTTCATAGTTATGAGAAAGTCTCTAATGTACCAACTTCACTTTTTAGCTTCTGTAGTTCTGCTTCTGACTAACTGTTCTTGTTCACTGAAGTGTGTCATCCCAGAACATGGATTTTGTGCTTAAAAGCTCACCCTGAGAAAGGCTTGGTGCTACACTGGGA